TTAAAGTGTGATTTTTTTTTTTTTTTAAAGAACGTTAAGGGTAGAATTTTTCCTCTTCAGGGAGTCTTTTTAAAAATATGAATTATTTTTAAAAATAGATTCACAAAAGACTTTTAAATCTTTAGATTTAACTTTATAGAATCTTCTTAGGTATAAGATTAGACACAGTGCTTTCTCACGTGGCTTATGTTCTCATTTTGGGAGTGTTAATATTAATGTAGATTTTCAAATACTAGAAATACATTCACTCCCTAAGCCTTGCTGTGTGTATTATGACTCTTCATTATTAATAAGCCTTGAAGACAGACACTATGCCTAAGACTCATTTAGTAATTAAGTTAGTAATTCTATGACGAAGTCATATTTGACAGTCACACCTTGTCATTTTTCTGAGTATCTCTGGTGACTTAATTTGCTGGGAGATTTTGTGGTTGGGAATTCCTATTTCATTATAATGTGAAGTTTGAAAGATAAGAGTTGAACAGTTTGATCCTCTAAAAGTGACTTTCTTAGAATTCTGTTTAGGTAACAGATTTCTTTCACAGATTTAAATTACCTGTGTGTAAGAACTTACTTCATTCAGTGTGCTTCAGAAAATGCAGACAAAAGTTAAGTAATGGGTATCTTTAATTGGTTTATCAAGATTTATTGATTGCTTTTTTTGCAAGGGGGGGTGGGGTTGATGGCTGAGTTAATGGTAGGTCTGTTAATGTGCCTGACTTTACATTTTGCCTTTTGGATGTATTCATTAAAATATGATTTCTTCAGGTTTGAGGGTGTGTAGATATTAGTCTTGCAGAATTATGAAATTTCATTCAGTCATTCAATTTTTGGAACATATGTTGGATTATATAATAGGATCTTAACCATTTTCTCCTTTATACAGTAAGCTTTGTTCTCTTCAAATAGCACTTAAAGTCCAGACATGATGGGCTAAGCTGTTAAATCCCTGGGGAAAACAAATACTATAAGGATAAAAGACAACCCCTTCACTTCACTGAGACTGTAAATTTCTTGTGTGTGTATGCAGATTTTTTGAAGGCAATTTTTATTTATTTATTTATTTATTTTTTAGTTTTAGTTGGACACAATATCTTTTTTTTTTTTTTTAATGTGGTGCTGAGAATCACACCCAGTACCCCATGCATGCTAGGTGAGCACTCTACCACTTGAGCCACAACCCCAGCCCTTTGAAGGCAGTATTTTCAATTGTTTGTACCATAAAGAAGAAAAAGGCCTGTGTAACTTATTCTCTTACTATAGCAGGAAGCGCTTGCCTAGCACACATGAGGCCCTGGTTGTGATTCCCCAGTGTCATACACGTGAATTTGAAGAAGAGTATCATGAGCTGAAAATAGAATGTAGTGTAGTAACTTTTTATACATAATTGAGTAAAAGTTTCTGAGGCATCTTATTTTTATAGAATGTTTTTCTAAGAGAAAATGGAATTAAGAGAATTGGTTACAAATACAGAAACTGAAGGATGGCAGTCTTTATACTAAGTTTTTATAGAGCAGGAATTAGCAGACTACAAGCTGCCACCTATGTTTTGGACTGCCATTGAGCTACAACTGGTTGTTACAATTTTTCTGATTGATTGGAAGTTATTGAAAGAATATTTTGAAAATGTAATTTTAGTGTTTATAAAGTTTATTGAAACACAGTCATGCTTACTAATGTACTGTCTTCCTATAAAATGGTAGAATGGAGAAGTCAGATCCATGTCTCCTAAAATCGCTGGCCCTTTGTCATTCCCTGTTATAGAGGATAATTTTGTTTGTATGTGGTATGTGATCAGTTTGGTTATTTGTATCCTCGCTTACAGATTGGGGTCTGGACTCCTCTGTTACACACATTAGGTTTCATTTACAAAGTGGATTCCCTGATACAATTTTGTCCTTGAGTACTGCTCAAAATCACATATACAAAGAAGTACCAGTGCTTTTTTAAGAATAACCCACTTTTTTTTCTTTTTGCAGTGTGGGGAATTGAACCCTGGGCCTCACCCATGCTAGGCAGGTGCTCTGCCACTGAAACAAATCCCTAGCCCACGTTTTCCTCAAACGTTAAAAGTATAGTGAGATGTTTGCCATAGTATTCAGGGATTTTGGTGGTCTGAGGGAAACAGAACCTGGCACTGATACATTAAACCACACCTGTGAAATAAATTATGGCACAGGACTTTGCTTTCTGTGTTGGTGAATTATTGATTTATTTCAGTCTATTTTAATACTACCTCCTCGGATATCCCTTTTATGCATTTAGATACGAACGAATTCAGTCCTTTATTAACCCTATTTTTGTCACTGTCAGTTGGTAAACTCTGAGTGTTTACATAAGCATTTCAGATTTAATAGGAGTACTTGTTAATTCCTTCATTAATTGCACTAGTAGATGAAAAATAGAGTGCAGCCAGATTTGATTATGTAATGCTCATAAAATGTTCAAAGCAGATCTAAACTTACAAAGTGAGTGTTTCTGCTTGATATGACTGTATTGAGGGAGGGCGAATTTATTTGATGCACAATAAAACCTTTCATGAATCATTTGAGAGTTAATTGATGTTATTTGCCAAATGAAACTGGTTATTGAAACATTTTAAGAAATGCACTTTCACATAAAATAAACCTATAACAACTAAATTCTCGTGTTCCCTTTTGTTTGCGGGGTGGGTGGGGGGCTTGCTGGCTGAGCCAAAATGAGTAAGAGGCATGCATGAACCATTTATTTTGCTCCTTTTAGGACTTGCTATTTAGAGGATTTTAAAGAGGTTTTCTGATTTATTCATAATTTTATGGGTTCCATAGACTTCTGAATCCATAGCTTTAAAAAAAAATGTGACCAACTAATACTGAAAGAACCTGCTTTTAGTTTACTAAGGCTGTTGTAAAGTATACTACGATCCAAGTGACTAGGTGTTTGAAGTCTGAGAAACAAAAGAGACAAAAGTACCCCGTTGATAAGGATTGTGAGAAAGACTATTTGTGCCAGTTCCTGGGTTTTGGGTGGTTTTCTGGCGGTTTTGGGGGGGCATTTCTGGTATTTAGTATTGCTTCAGTCTCTGCCTTCATCTTCATGTGGCTTTCTTATGTGCATATATGTACAAATTTACTCCTTGGGGGGCTGGGGATGTGGCTCAAGTGGTAGCGCGCTCGCCCGGCATGCGTGCAGCCGGGGTTCGATCCTCAGCACCACATACAAACAAAGATGTTGTGTCCGCTGAAAACTAACTAACTAACTAAATAAATATTTAAAAAAAAAAAAATTTACTCCTTGGTTTTTAGTAATTAGAATATTTATAAAATAGGTCAATTTTAATAAATTCCTCTACATACAACGTACATGTTTATTAACTGAAAATTAAAATAACATTGAAATTTTTTTTCATTGCAACTCAAAATTTTTGAAAACTAGAAAATCTTATGATGATACTCTAACCAAGACTACCCAGTATTCTCTTTACATCTCTTCTAGTTCCCGAGTTTTATTTCAGGCTTCGTAAACTTATAGGAAGGCTTTACATCTATTGGTACTTTGAATCAAATAGAAAAGTAGAACTTAAGTATATTGAAATCATTTATATACATTGTAACGCAGATTGATTATAGATCATTGGCATCAAGGTGTGAAGAGATCCCCAGCACCAAAAAGAGCAAAAGAAAAAGATACTTAAGGTACTCAAAATCATTGGTTGTCTTAAAGTAACATGCATAAATTGCCATCATGAAGAACAATGTACAATTTATGCCTAAATTGACTGTCAGGATCATTCTCAGAAGGATCTCATTCATGATACAAGAAATAACTGCAGGTATATTTGATGTTACACTGATTCACTTAAGAACTTCTTTAAAACCAATGTCTCTTTGTTCCCTTTGAAGCCTGGAAAATCTTAATCTTAGGTGATATCTTGATTTTGCCACGTGTTCATTCTGTGCAGATAACAATATCCAGTCTCCACCTGTAGGGAAAGTGCCTCTGTAGTAGTTATCTTTGTACTAGTAACTGCACATTGAATATCTGGTTACTTGCTTTATAAAGCAAGTAGGAAAATGAAAACCACCCATTGTGCTGATGGTACAGTGTGTTCACAAAGTTTGGAAGTATGTGCATGATGGAATTGTTGCCTGCCTTGTTAACGTTTTCACTCAGTTTAGGTGAAGATGAAGACTTTGGAGTGAGAATGATTACCTTTCCCATCATTAGGATGCTACAATTTGGATTTGGAATGTCCCCCAAAGGCCCATGTTTTTAAGGTTTCATCCCTGTTTGCTCTTAAGAGGTGGTGGAACATGTAGGAGTAGGTCCTAGATACAAGGACAGATCTTTAGCTTTTTAGGAAGGATAGTCCTTTGGGGGTGTTCCCTCAATTGGGATTGTGGTACCCTGGTCTCTTCCTTTCTTTTATTCCCAGCTACGATATGAACAGACTTCCACTCCCAGTCATTCCCGTTACCATATACTGGATATACTCTCTTGCCATGGGCTGAAAGATGATAGGACCAACTAGCCATGGATTGAAACCTCCAAAACTGTGAGCTAAAATAAGCCTTTGCTTTTTTTTTTTTTTTTAAGGTTGATTACCTCAGGAATTTTGTTACAGTAGTGGAAAGCTAATAGGTCTGTTTTGTTAGGGTTATAAATTCTGTGAGGACACCAACTTTCATTCATCAAAGCATTAGGCCATTGTTGGTTCATCTTTCCACCCTTTGTCCTATGCTGTTGACCCAGTAGATACAGATGGGATCTCCTAAGGTTAGGATTGGCTTGCACAGATTTTTCTTTAAGAAAAAGAGCTTTATTGGGAAGGTGAAAATGATCACTTGCTAACTTGAATAGCTAGATTGTACAAGAAAGGACCTGAAAAGTCCCTGATGTCCTCCAAGACTTGGACCTCATTTAAGTACACCTTGTTCTTTCTCAGACCTAGAAAAAAATTAGCAACCTATGTTTCAAACAAGGGATAATTCTTCCCTTTTCCATGTACAGAAATACTGATGATTCCTTAGTTCTTTCTGGAATAAATTTTGCTCTTCTCTCACAGCCAGCCCTAGTGGATTCACCTTTACCAATTCTGGAACCAGACAGGAAGTAAGACGTGAATGTTTCTTCATTGGGAATCCTATAGCTATATCTATTTCTTCAGGGAAGTTTGCTGAACACATTATGTACAGTATTGAGAATGTCTACTCTTATGTATTTTAATAGTACATTGAAACCATTAAAAATAAAGTTTATTCCATCAGCAGAGTTTGTTGCAGAAAACAATTTTATTAGTTATCAGTTTATCACCAGTTTATATTCACTACCAGGTTTATAATTTTAGAAATGGATTAGGAACACAAGCATTAGCATTTAAAAGCAAGGAAGGGAAATATGAATATCTGCCATTTTTCCTTTAGTGTATTTGTCATGTTCAGAATGCCTTTTTAAAAAAAAAAAAAAAACTTGTAGTTGGACACAATACTTTTATTTATTTTTATGTGGTGCTGAGGATGAAACCCAGCACCTCCCATGTGCTAGGCAATTGCTCTCCTACTGAGTTACCCCAGCACCAGAATGCCTCTTTTTAAGAAATAATGTTCGCTTTTTTTTTTATAATTGGGAAAGACTCTGGGTTGACACAGTAATAACATAACACAGCAGGAGTTTTTAAAATGTCTATTCTGAAATTCAACTGATTTTAAATCCCAAAGGAAATTTGATAATGGCAGTGTTTAATATAAAGAACTTAACAGACTTAATGTTGTCTGAAGTTTTATGTGCAGGTCCAGAAAATAATGAAAATGTAAGTCTAGTTTAAAAACTGGACAGATTAACATGAATATTTGGTTTAATGGAGAATTACTGGAGTTCATATAGAAATAAATTATATTGAAATGTTACTGCCATAAATGACATTGGCAAAAAAACATCAACTTGAGAAGCAATAGTGTTGAGTCTAAACTGGAACACTGCAGGAGTTGTAGGTCTTACAGATGTGAGTTTTTGAAATGCCTAAATAGCTTCGACGTAGTTGGCTGGGAGCATGCCGGTTCTTCCAGTTCTTTGTACAGTGCCATACATCCATCCTTCATCAATAGCTTGAACATTTACAATAGCATCTCCATCTTTGAAGGACACCTCATCTGCATCTGCAGCCATATAGTCGTACATGGCACGGAAGATTTTCTATTTATGGGGATAGAAATGGAAAATTCTATGGGATTTGTAATAACCAATATCTAATTTTAAAATCTGACTTATTTCACAAATTTGAATTTCTAAAAAAAATGTGCAACTATCACCAAGAAAGTAGTGACTCAAGAAATAAAATAGTTGTGAATCATTTATCTGATAAGGGATTAACATCTGGAATGTATAAAGAACTCATACAACTCAACATGATGTGTATAATAGACATTTCTCCTATCAGATATACAGATAGCCAATAAGCACATGAAAAGATGTTCAGTGTCATCAGGGAAATGCATATCAAAACTACAAAATACCACTTCACACAGAATGGTGATAATCATCAACAAAACAATAGGTTTTAAAGAAATGGGATAGAAATTTTGAACCCTCATTAACTCCTGGTGGGGATGTAAAATGGTGTGGCCATTTTGGAAAATGGTTTGGCAGTTATCATGTGACCCAGCAAATCTACTCCTATATAACCAAGAGGAATGAAAACTTTGTGTGGTAACTTGTAGGACCATGTTCATAGCAATATTATTCCTAATAGCCCCAAAGAGACAACAACCCGAATGCCCACCAACTGATAAATGAATAATCAAAATGAGATATATCCATACAGTGGAATGAAGTATTATATATGATGCAATATGATGGACCTCAAAGCATTAAGAAGCAGCTATGTACTAAATCTACATATCCCATGATTTTGTATGAAATGTCCCAAATAGACAAAGTAGATTAGTAGTAGATGACTAGAATTAGAAGGGAGACTGGGAATGGGGAGTGAATGCTGATGGGAATAAGTTGCTTTTCCTTGTAATGTTGATGAAATATTCTAAAATTAAGCTAATAGAACAACTTCATAAATTAAATATGAATGTCAGCGAATTATATACTTCAAATTATGAACTTCATTCTGTGTTCATTATATATCCATAAAACTGTATGCCCATAGAGAAAAGAGAATATGCTTATTTTATATGTAACTGGCTTTTTTGTGTGCGTGCATTCCTGGGGATTGAACCCAGGGCTCTTGCACATGCTAGGCAAGAACTGAGCTATATCCCCAGCCACAACCCCCACTCTTATTTTTGAGGTAGGGCCTTACTAAATTGCACAGGCTGACCTGGAATTTGCAATCTTCTGCTTCAGCATTCTGAGTGACTGGGATTATGGGTATGTGCCACTACACCCAGCCTTTGTCTGCCTTTTGAGGAGTTAGGCTATGTTTCAGAAAAAAACTTGAAATGCCATAGCAATATTGCTTATGTGAAAGTTGTCAGAATTAAAATACAGTCGTTTTTGTCAAGCCTTAACCAAAAAAAAGAAAGCCAGAAGATTATGAAGGAATCTTAATGCGCGATTGTCTGATAATTTTGTGTAATTATCACAAAAGAATGCTCCAGAACCACAGCCTGGATCATAGGCCACTGCAATTTTATACAGCAAATACTCCAAGGTCATCTGCTCAGTAACAGTCTATTCAGTTTCATTAACTCGTGGGAATGTAAAATGTCTCTACCCTTGTTAATCCTTGTAGCAAAGGATTATTGTTTTAAAATATTTTCTGTAATCCTCATTTGCTTTTGAAAATTTCGCCTTGCTTTCCTCATCCTCTCTGAATATACCCATAGTTTACTATAGCATATGTATTATTGCAATGCTCTATTGTTCCCAAATAAATGTCTTCCAAGTGGCTTGGGAGGCTGAGACAGGAGAATCACAATTTTAAAGTCAGTCTCAGCTACTGCAAAGCACTAAGCAACTCAGTGAGACCCTATCTCTAAAATAGAGCTAGGGATGTGGCTCAGTGGTCGATTATCCCTGAGTTCAATCCCCAGTACCCCCCCAAAAAATGTCTTTATGCTTTGGAGAATCTAATTCTTACTTAGGTTGACACAGGTCAACTCTCAATTTGGAAATTTGGTAGCATATCAGTAGTAAAGTTTTCTAAAAGATATCCAACCAGAATATAAACAACAAAAAGAAAAAAAGTAATTTTTTTTGAAATATAAGTAAAATACCCAGTTTCTTTCTAAGAGCAGCCCCCCCAATTTTTTTCTTGCATTTTCCCCAATGTAAGTGGAAAAACACTATAATACTCATACTCTCCTCATTTAATATAGCTTGGAAATCTTTTCATTTATAACTCTCATTCTTTTTGATTGACACAGAGAATTTCACATTTTAGTAATACCACAAGTTATTTAGCCATATCCATTTTTTTAAAACACTATAATGAGCATCCTAGTTGTCTTTGGGCAAATAATTTCTGAAGAAAGTTATTTGTTTGTGCTGGGAATTGAACCTATCGCCTCATGTGCTGGGAAGAAACAGCTTTTAAAGGTAAGTGTTAGCCTAGGTCAAATGATGTACATATTTATTTTTAAGAGCTTTTGCTCTAATGGTCAAGTATGATACTTCACTTCATTTGCATGTTCTGGTTATTAGTCATGGTGAAATTTTTTTTTTTTGGTGGCCATTTTCATTTCTTACGTCAAATTGTCTATTCACACCCTTTCAGGTCCTTCTTTTGGGGGTTAGGGAAATAATTTGTCATCGAATTTTATACTTTTTAAACATTAATATTTTTGTAATCTATACTCTTAAGTCTTTTCTCCCAGTTCAACATGTTTCTTTTTGCTATAGAAACATTTAAAATTTTATGGTGAAATCCATTGTTTTTTTTTTTTTTTTTCCCTTTATACTTCCAGGTTTTGGATCTTGCTTAGGAAGGTTTTCCCCACCCCAAATGTTATAAAAGTAATTAATTTTTCTGGAGTATTTTTACAATTTTGTTTTTTTACATTTAGATCATTTTTTTTTTTTTACATTTACTTGGCATAGCTTCCAAATAAATATCATTTGAGATGAGTATCTAATCCTTTTTTTTTTTGGCGGGGTGGGGTACTAGGGAGTGAATTCAGGGGCACTCAACCACTGAGCCACTCTCCAGCCTTATTTTGTATTTTATTTAGAGACAGGGTCTCACCGAATTGCTAAGTGCCTCTCCAGTGCTGAGGCTTGCTTTCAACTCGTGATTCTTCTGTCTCAGCCTCTCCAGCTGCTGAGATTACAGGTGTGCACCACCATGCCCAGCAAGATGAATATCTTCTTATTTTAAATTTTCTTGCTAAATAACCAGTTTTCTGAAGATCATATAGTTAAGTAATGAATACGTCCCCTTCCTGTTGATTTGTAATTCTTTTAGAGTCTGTTTCTGGACTTCCAACTGTTTTTATATCTTTTACCATCCCAAATCTATATTTGGTTGATTACTGTATTTTTACTCTTCCAAATAAATTTTAGGATTAGAGCACAAGTTTTAAAAAAATCTTGTTGGTAAGTTGATTGGAACTGTCTGGAACTTATTGATTTATTTCACAAAAAAATGATAAACTTACAGTATTCCCTTTCAGAAATACAATGGGTCTCAACACATATTTAGGTCTTTTTTTTTTATGTCCTTCAGTGAAGATACTTGTCTTCATATTCAGTCCTAAGTAGTGTGTTTTTGTGACATTATAAAAGAGGTGGTCCAGGGTTTTAAAATAAGAGTTGTAAAGCAGTCAGGTGAACTGTGAACATGATTTAGCATACATTTTCATTATATGTTAGTAGGGGAGATATACGCTATGACATGAATACATGTATGCACATATGCATATACATTCTTGAAGAATGATTCTAGGCAGTAAGTAAAAGGTTCAGTTTAAGATTGTGCACAAAACCAAAGAGCCAAAGCTAATACTTTGCATGATTTCTTAAAAATCATTGAGTGATGCCTTTCATTAATTTGGGTTTGGGTAGTAATAAAGGTCTTCTGATATTGACCATTAACATGAGATGTGAAGTAAAAGGGCATTATATAAAATAGAAGCTTTCTTTTAAAAAGAATATAATACCTATGACTTTTTTTCACATATCAAAAAACAAGAGTGATTTGAGTAAGTTCTTCATTTACTTACTCCAGCAGTAGATGGATGAGATGGTATAGAAGACAATGTTGTCTGTTGAGTAGCAACTGACGATGATCGTTGTTGTGGGAGCTCTGTGGTTTTCACATGTTTGTAAGCTGTAAAGAAGGAAACAGTAGTTTTAAAAAGAGAATGTCACTATACATTTAATCTATGCTTAGTAGCCAAGCAGTATTTATTTCCTTTTTCCCCAATTTAATGATTTCTAAGAAGGCAGGATCTAATAAAACGGATGGAAATGAAACATGTAAGTTCATACAATGACCCACAATTCGTCTTTTGTCATTAGAATAAGTTTTTGTTTGTTAAGACAATCAGTCGCTTTCCAGTAAAGTCGGCACCATCCCATCTGTACCTGTTGAGGCTGCAGAGAAGAAGGCACCTCCATCACTGTAGGTGGAAAGATGGTGGTCGGCAGCTTCTGAGTGCTCAGACTTTTCCTCACCCCCGCTGATACTCATTGCACTGGCAGACCTTGACTGCTCCCGGCTCCGGCGCTGAGCTTGGACTGGGAAAGAAGTGATTGGGAGAGAGATAGCAGAGGTGAAATTTCTGTGGTTGTAATGCCTAATAGTAATTGAGTCTCAGTTGTGATTATTTTTTTTTGCCAGGCATAGTTTTAAGTAGTTTTCTGTGGATTAAACCCTCACAGCTCGTCTGATGTGTAGTTGTCATTATTTTATAAGTGAGAGCCTAATAAATGGCCACAGGTCATATAACTGTGAAGTGGTACAGCCATGATTTTCTGTCTCCCTCTCCTACCAGTCCTTGTACTGGGGTTTGAACCCAGAGTCACTCTACCATTGAACCTTCCCCAGCCCTTTTTATTTAATTTTATTTTTTAAAAAATATTTTTTAGTTACCAATGGATTTTTAACTTTGTTTATTCATATGTGGTGCTGAGGACCCAGGGCCTCACACATGCTAGGCAAGTGCTCTGCCACTGAGCCATAATCCCAGTCCCTATTTTATATTTATTTTGAGACAGGTCTCATTAAGTTGCTCAGACTGTCCTTGAATTTTAGATACTCCTGTCTTAGCTTCCTAGTTGGATTAGAGGTGCTCGCCATCATACCCTGGGAATAGCCAGGATTCCAACCCAAGAAACTATCCTAACTACTACTGCTTCCCACCATCTTGCCCATTTTCCTGGCTCATCAAAACAAATAGCTAGTAATCACATTTAAATTCATCTTCCCCAGAAAGTTCTTCCTAACTTCCAACTGATGTAGGTGCTCTCTCTCTGTTCCAATGAAACTCTGGGCAGATCTTTAAAAATGTATGTGTCAGGGTATAACCAGGATTTACTTGTCTGTTTTCATCCGTAAACCAGAGTATAAGTCCTTTGAAGAAAAGGACTACATATTATTCTACTGTTTAACAGAAAGCATAAAGATATGCTGGTATTTCACTAATGAATAATCTTCCTTGATACAAAAAAGCTCAGAAAACTCCTAAGTCAGAACTATTCTCTTTCCTTTGCCTATATATCTGTTGTCATCATTTCTGTAATACAAAGATTTAATACTTATTTTCTTTAGGAAAAATTAATAACAGGGACTGAAGGAGACATGAACTCAGGCAGTGAAACAAAGTCTTTTTCTAACTTGAACTAGTTTGGCCTGTTAGTCAATGGTCACCTCAGAAAATGAAACCCTGGATGGAAAGAACCTAAGAACCTAAAAGTGACTGACTCTAGCCCATTATATGGGGACATTTATGTTGTAAGCCTCTTGTGGGCTAACATACCATTAATCATATGTAAGCTACGGGACTGAATGTTGTCCTCCGCAGGATCGTAGTCAAAAACTGAACCAGGATTAGTACGCCAGACACGTAGACCTGAAAAGAAAACCAACAATCAGAACAGTTGTTCTTGTATTTTTTCAATAACTTGAAACCCAAAGCATGAATTTAAACAACCACAGGCAGAATGAATCACTTTTAATCAGCTTACCTCTGGTTCCTCTCCTAAGAAGAGAACAAAGATAAGGTACAAGAAGACTTCATCTTTGCAAACTGAGATAATAGGGGCTTTCTTTCATAATTAATGAAAAAGATTGAGGTCCTTTGTATTTTGCCTTAGTGTAGCTAGTCACTTTTGTTCTGTTACCTGTAATAGTCTCCTGATCCTGATCATTGCGTTTTTGTTCCATTTCTACAACTTTTCTTTGAATACCTCGGTAGTTAATGTCACTGAAGTCTTGTGTGTTCTTTTTTACTCGTTCAGTGATAGGATCGGTCACCACTGGCGTGAAGCAACCCTTGTGTTTCTCAAAGTCTTCATGATATTTCACCTAAAATGTAAATTTGCTTTATGAAAATATGATGGTATGACCATTTTTTCTTTTTGCATGTTCCAACAGGTTGTCCAACCAACCCTAAAGAATTCTTGACTCACCGTTGAGATATGCCGTTGAGTTTCCCTTACCCGTCTCATCTCTGGGGTATCCAACACATAGGCAGCTTTGCCTTGTATTTGTTTCCGGAAGCTATCAGAATAAAGAACCTAGGGAGGAGAAACCATGAATGAGTATAACTCATGGTATTGTCTTCATTCTGAAGCCTTAAGCCTTTCCAACAGATGGAGATGAAAGAAGCTGATGAGGGAAACTTGAGTCAATTGATTGAACCCAGTGAGACACATGACTAACAGTGGATCTAGTTAGCACAAAGAGGAGTAGGGCTCACATCAGGAGAGAAAGGACTTGTTTTGACTTTGAAAATGAAGTATCCATTTTCAAAGGAAAAAGGGGTATTGTATAATTTTGAAAAAAGTGGAAGAAAGTGGCCTCTTGGATTTGCTAGCACTTCTTGGATTTATAGCACTAGCACCAGCATATTGATGATATTTGTCACTAAATCTGATATGAGAATTCGCAAAAACTATCCTTTAGAACAGTAATCATTTATCTCAGGTAATATCCAGATTGCATAAACCAAGGTGCTAATAAAGAAATCAGAGTACTCCAGACACTAAAACCCCCAAATATCAAAGCCAATGAAGGCATCTATTTCTGAGTATTCACTATTTAATAAGGTACCTTAAACATAATGTAGAACCTAAGATTGAGGATGTTAGGGAGTCAATTTGTTATAGTTGGTTATGAAAAACTACCTCAGAGTAAAGAAGAGGAAAAACACTGACAATTATTTTTAGTATGATCATTTGGAATTGAAAAGCACGGTTGTGTTAATTTTAGTTTTCAGTTGATGAAAGTGCACATTTTTATGGTGTTAAAACGTTATTTTCAACATGTTGCATTTCTCCTTTTAAATTTTAGTGTATTTTTCAGTTGAATGAGAAAGACACGTTTTCATGATGTTAAAATGTTATTTTCCAAGTTGTTGCACTACTTCTTTTTAATCCTAGAAAATACCGAGCTAATGTTTTCTTGGTTGCGCTTAGCTCTCTCCATCTCTGGAGTAACAGGTGTCGGTGTTGCTTTTCTCATATTCTCTTTGTACAATACCTAAGGGAGCCAAGAGAGCATCCAGACATCAGAAAACAGAAAAACAGTTCTGAAAAATCATTTAGCTGTTGTTATGGCTCAATTATATCACACTCTATAAGAAACACCTCAAGAAGAAAAAGCCATTAAAATGTTATGGGAGAAAGCAAAAGAATCAGTGTGAGCTAGTGGGATTGATTTGTTGTTTTTAAGTTGACAAGAAAGAATTTAATATATATACAGAATTTTGGAAACACTGTGAATAAATTAGTGGTATAACCATGATGGCCAGGCTTGTTAAAAGTTTTAATGATTTATATTTCCTCTCTGAAATACCGAGCTAAAGTTTTCTTGATTGCGTTTGACTCTTTCCATCTCAGGAGTAAAGGGTGTGGGGGTTGCCTTCCCCATGCTCTCTTTGTATAATACCTGTGAGATACAAAGTTGTACCCAAAAGTCACTAAGAGGCAACATTTACTCTGAAATATAATACAATTGGGGGGAAGGAAAATGTTAAGTATAATCTATATATTCTATTACTATCAGAACAGCTCTCAAGTAGAAAGCTTAAGAAAGTTAATGGCAACTCTAAATGTGGGATAATATTTAGAGGGTATTCAAATGTAATTTTCATTTTGTTTATTTTTAACCTTGGATGAGGTTAGGAGCAGGCCAAACTGCAGAGGTTATGTTGTAAAATCAAAAGCATTTTCATTTCTCAAGACAATACCGAGCTAATGTTTTCTTGATTGCGTTTGACTCTCTGCATCTCTGGAGTGACAGGGGTTGGGGTGGCTTTCCCCACATTTTCTTTGTACAAAACCTACGTGAGTCCAACAGATCCAAAAAGGAAAAAGAAAAGAATTACAGTTACCAAAATAAGAAATGGAATAGATAACATGAGGCCCAGGACACTAAATCATTTAGTCAATAAGGTTAGATGGCAATCATTATGTTTCCAAAGGAAGATGAGTGTAGTTACAGGAAGATACATGTTTCCAGGGTAGAATCCTGCCCTGAAATATTTTTTGTAATATATTCATATTACAAGAGAGAACTGCAGTGTTCCCAGGAAGGAGGCAGGACCATCATCATTTTACTACTAGTACAAGAATGTCAAGCTCCTGACAGATCTTCTAAGGGGGAATTACAGACTTGGGTTTGAATCATACTGAGGTTGAAGCTGCTCCAGCAGTTGGTTACTGGACCTTTTTCCAGCACTTAACTCTCATAAACATATGAATAAAATTGTAGGCCCTCAGACAAGGCAGAAAGGATTTCTCCTGTTCCTTTTTCATCTCTATCTTTTGTCTTTACCTCCTGCATTTTCTTAGTATTTCACACTGATCAAAAAGTAGCAGTGTTTTAGGTAGTTAATGTTGTAAATCAATAGGAAGCAATACAATGTATTATAAATTCTTAACCTCAATGTCTCACCCTAGTGTCATTCTAGAGAACCCAGGAGGGTTGGAAGAATTCTATTCCAGTAGTGGTATTGAGAGAGGAGTCCCTGGATAGTCAGGTCAATACCACCTAAGAAATTATTAGAATTACAAATTCTCTAGCTCCATGCTAGACCTACAGAGGAGAAATTGTTGGGGCAGGATCCAGAGATCTGGGTTAATAAACCCTCTGCATGATTCTGATGCATGCTAATGTTTCAGAACTACTGGGAAGTACTGGGTTTAAAGTTTCGAGAAAACTGTAAACAGTATAAATGCTGAGCAACATAAGGTTGTTCACTACTGAAAGCTAAAGCCCACACACAAACCCAACTCCCCCAGAAAATTTATAGATACATGTAAGATCACAGAGCATAGTGATTTACTAAAGTTAGCATTAAAAGACCATGATAAATACAAAGAACAACAATTAAGATGAGTAAAACAAATATTATTTCTGGTGACTCAAGTGAATTGACAATTGCCAAAACTGTTACTGGATTATAATTTGCATCATTATCCTTGAAGGAAAAGATTAGAAGTTATTTTCCCCAAGGTCTCTTTGTCCAAATCTGACAGGGCTGGGAATGTAGCTCAGTATTTAAGGACATGTGTAGCATTCTCTAGGCCCTGGGTTTGGTCCCTAGCACTGCAAAATAAAACCCCAAATCTGACAGGGCAAATTAGAACCTAAAGTCATCAACTCAAAAACACAATGAAATCATGATTCCAGTATTCAAAAAGAGCCCCATTATACCTACTGCACAGCCCACTCCAAATTTCATGTGTAAAACAAAGAGACCTTGGGTATAAGAGTAAGTCTGGGAGAGATAAGCAAAAGATTCTTTTGTAGGAAAATATATGACTTCTTGATATCAGAACTTGAAATTATGGATTAAAGCAATTTTGTTGTTATAGGGTTAAGACTGGGAATACCGCATAGGAAAGAAGGATAAATGTAGTCAAGAAATTCACAAAATATAAGTTGTCTTTAAAAAGTGGGATTAATATGTATTATTTTAAATCATTAAAGTAGTTGTTTTTTAAATCATTAAAGAAGGCTTTTTTTTTCTTTGTTTTTTTGCAGAGTACCGAGCTAATATTTTCTTGATTGTGTTTGACTCTCTCCATCTCTGGAGTGACAGGTAAAGGAGTTCCCTTGCCCATGTTTTCTTTGTATAGCACCTGTGCAATGAGAAAATATCAACAACAACAACAAAAAATCTGTCAGAAACATTTCATTTGCTGTGATGTTTTACACAGGTGAGGACAACTTTCATGTTATAAAATGGCACAATAGTCCAAGGAGCCAGGAGTTATATGCTGATAATATGCTATATATTATTTTAGTGGAAGCCATTACTGGGTTGAGGAATTTTCATCCTCAGCTGCTGGGGAAAGGCTGTTGGAGTTATCCATATAATTTTTTCTTTTCTACAAGTATAGTGTCTCCTAAATAATCACAGGGATTTGAGATGGTTAGAACTTGGTTTTGTTATCCACACAAACTAAAACATTTGTTATTTCTTTTTCAAAAACATGTTTAAATATCAGATGAAGTAAAAATAAAAATTTATAGAAATGAGAAAGTATGTCTTTATGCAAAGTAAGATACATTAGGAGCAAAGGAAGGGGAGAAGGCTTAAAAAAAAAGAATAAATATTAAAGATCTGTTTAGTTCTGAGGTTAAATTGCATCTTTTTTCCCCCATTTTTAGAATACCGAGCTAAGGTTTTCTTGATTGTGTCTGACTCTCTGCATCTCAGGAGTGATGGGGATTGGAATTCCTGTCCCCAGGTTTTCTTTGTATAGGACCTGTATGATAAGAAAGCATCCAGAACAAAGAAAGACAATCACTTCCTCCCTCTTGGAGCAGTTGGGAGTGGGTGGAGAGGGAAGAAGAGAATGAGTTAGAGGAAGGAAACACCAGAAGCTTTTAGGTTCACCCTGTATGAGACTAAAGACATCCTTAAGGCAAAGGAATGCAGGAAAAGAGCAGCACAACTAAGAAATACAAAAAGAAAGTTTTGTTATTTTATTGTTTGAACTAATTGCTACAGCACTGAGCAATAAAGAATACCATGAAAGGAGAAATTAGTCTTCCTCAACTTGTTATGGGGGTGGGGGGATAAAAACAGGAGACAGAAACAGAACCAAGGAAGTTATTTTTGATTTGGAAATGCTATTAATAAATCACATAAGGATATCTGGGTTTTATAAATACTGTTTGTTTGAAGATACATACACACAAATCTTTTGTTGACTTCCAGAAGAAGTCAAAGTATTTAATTTTTAGTTTGGATGAGCATTTTGGGAAGAATTATTTTTAAGGCAAGTAGGGAGCAATGACAAGTTGGTAAAAAAGAAATTTCAAAATATCTGTACAAATACCAGTAGAGACAGAGGTTAGAATAGGAAATGAGGCCAAATGTCAGATCTTTATAGAATAAATTTTAAGCTTTAGGTTCAGATCAGATTTGCCAAAGCAAGATAAAAGTGGATGCTTAGATACTAAGAATGTTATATTTTTGAAAGCTGGAATATAATACTCAACACTTTTTTAAAAATTAAGTCAACATTATTATATTAATGTTTAACTAAAGTAGGGAAACTGATTATAGGAAATGGCAGCATTAAGTTGGGAACAAGACAGGTCAAAGTTTTTATTGAAATAAGTTGATTAGATTTTAGAAATCTAGCCATTAATCTTTTTAAAGCATCTTAAAAATAGTTAAAGGGATTTTTTTTTTTCATTTTAAATACCGAACTAAAGTTTTCTTGATTGTGTTTGACTCTCTCCATCTCTGGAGTGATGGGAATCGGAATCCCTTTTCCGAGGTTCTCTTTATATAACACCTGTATGACACAAAAAAGCATCCAGAAAAGAACACTGAGCAGTCAAAACAGCCCCTTCATCCATTTTGTGGGGAACCTACTATGAGACTACAGATATCAAACTGAAAGGATAAATTCACCAAGTCCACTGCTCTATGCAAGGACAGATCTGGGTGAGAAATGCTGAAGTGCCTAGTATATTTGATAACTCATCTTTTTATCCTGTCCCACATGGAAATGCTAATTTCCTAAGTTACAAATTCAGGAAAAAAATACAAATAATTTTATAAGAGCACTAAAATGCTCAGCGTGCAATAGAATAGTTTTCAAGCTAGATTGGTAAGTACTTTCCTACATAGAATGTTTGTCTTATATGATAACAGATATTTAAAACTCCAGACCAATTTTGTGCAATATAGCAAAATTGGTCTTTCTTTATGCTGTAGAGATGATCAAGTGTAAATGTCGTTTTATTATACAGTATTTCCCAAAGTAAAAGGCACCACTAGACAATTTTGCCTAATGTAACCTGTGTAAAAATAATACAAATGGTTACTTCAAAAATTGTCCAGGAACATTAGTTTCAAATAGATACAAATAATAATATACTTACTCTAATATAGAAGGAAATAAATAATTAAAACATAATTTTGAAAACTGTTACAAGACTTTCAAAGAAAGGAATAATGATGAACCCACGGGGGGGCGGGGGAACAATTAAATACAACATTACAAAGGACATTAACTTATATTGAAAATCTAACAAATTGTAAAGTTGTTAAAGAATAGTAATTAATAACAAGACAGAAAAGACAGTAGGACCAAAGAAAATTACTAATGGAATTATGTGGGGAAAAAAAAAAACTTTTAGAAAACATTTATTTATTTATTTATTTATTTTTGTTTTACTAGAGATTGAACCAGGGGCACTGTATCAATGAGCTACATCCTCAGTCCTTTGTGAGATAGAGTCTCACTAAGTAGACAAGGCCGGACTTGAATTTATGTTCCTCCTGCCTCAGTCTCCCAAGGAGCAGGATTATAAGTATGCACCACCACATTTGGCTTAGAAAATATTTACACTGACAATTAAAAACGTGTTGGACTGGGGCTGGTACTCAGTGGTAGTGCTCTCGCCTGGCACGCGTGAGGCACTGGGTTTGATCCTCTTCACCACATAAAAATTTTAAAAAGTTATTCTGTTCACTTACAACTAAAATATATATATATATATATATATATATATATATATATATATATAT